TCGTGATCGTGCGCCCTCACAATCGCTGCACCGCTCTCTTCTACTCCATCCGCCTAAAGTATGCGCCCGAGCAGCTGCCTCGCTGCATCAACAGCAAGCACGAATGACAGCATGCGGCGCACTCGCTCGTGCTACCCGTACCTCCGTCGACCTTGATGGCATGCGACCGAGAGCGTGCTCGCTCTACCCCAGCACGCTGTCCTCGACTCCACGGCAACCACGGGCACGCGCATGGGTGCTGAACGGCCATGGTCTGAGGAGGGCGAGTCGTTGGGTGTAAAGCAGCGCATAGGTGGGCGAGAGCGGACGCAGGCGGGGTCGTTTGCACACACCAGGTGAGTCGCCGTTGGTCTGTATCGCGCGCCGCACCGCGGCGCATGCACTTACATGTTCATCGTCCTCCATCCTCTCGTTTGACCACCCCGGCGAGTTCTACTGGCCTTGAAGACCCACGCGCAAGCCCCCACAAGGCAACTCACACCCGTCTGAGCCTCGAACGTCTCGCGCCCTTGTACAGCCAACCGGTGCACTTGCATTCACGTCCCTCACCACCACAGCGTGTCGTTCGTTCGCCGCTGCCATCTTCCCCGCACCCAACGAGACGAGTCCACCATGTACGGCCACGCTCTCCTCACCCTCAACATAGCCTCACTAACGCGCGCACGTCTGCAAGACAGGGCCACCGTCGTCAGCGGCGCCGCAGCAGGAGGGCGAGCCCTTCGTGATCAGGGAGCGTGTAGGTCAGCCAGAGCGAAGTAGGCATGGTTGTTTGCACACATCAGGTGAGTCCTCGTCGCTCTGTATTGCCCGTTGCACCGTGGCGCAAGCCCTCACCCTTGCAGTGTCCTCCCTCTCTAGTTCGACCACCCCAGCGCGCTCTGCGACCTCGAAGCCCTCGCAAGAACGCACGCGATGCATCGTGCCCGCGCCTCGCGGATCGCTCATCTCTTCTTGCCTTATACGATGACCAGTCGCCCGCTCGCGCGTTCTTCACTACTACGGCACGCGAATCGGCCGCGTGCTCTGTTCGCCGCCACCGCCTTACCAACGCCCGACGCGATGCGCCGATTGTGCAGACCCGCCCCATCCGCTGCCCACTCCCTCGCCCGATTACCACGGTTCACGAGCGCGCGGACGCATGCAGGAGATGGCGACCCAGCGGTGGC